TTTTCTGATTCTGATTCAGGTTGACGACGGTTTGTGTTTCTTGTATATAGATATAAATACCATGTAAGAAACAAAATAAACAACAGAAGGAATATAGAATCAACAGCTCTTAATATCCAGTATATAATGCATGAAGACATTTCTGCTCTCTGCTGACTTCAATGACCCAGTTAACTTCCCTATAATTATAATTAGTTAGTATCATGCAATCTCACTCGGCAAACCTCGATAGATTCCGTTACTCTACATCTAGCCTCGGCTGTATGACGGTAAGTGATATGTACCTACGCCTATACAATTGCGATGCCGTACTGGTTTACTTATTAGGAAAACTTGCCGCTTTTAAAAAGACGTTATCAAAATTGCGTCGTTTTGAATTTTGAATTGCGTGTTTAGAATTGTCAGTGCAAGGTTGTCCGTGTTTGAAGAAAATCGGATAAACTTGAAAGAAAAACAGCTTCAGACTTTGAAATATTTGTATGATAAAACATTCTTCAAAGGCGTAGTCATGGGCAACGCCGTTGGTAATCCGGGAACTTGAAAGTAATTCCAATGGCGGACTTCGTCATACAACCAAGTTATGATGTAGGGTACTGGAATCTGCTATGGTTTGCCGAGTGTGCCAGAGTACTCCTTCTTGTTGTTTCTAAAAAAAATCAAGCAACATTGTTTATTGTTAAAAGGTGTTTTTACTGCTTTTTATCCGAACCTGGATTGAATAGAGAAGTTTGACCCATTAACTATACTGTCAACTTCCTTTTTTTTTTTTGGGGGGGGGGTCATCCAGACACCACTCCCTGCGTATGCAACGACGATACAGGAGAGACCCAGGAGAGTGCCTATACATTTCATAATAAATGTCATTTGGGAATGGCCTCAGATGGAAATAAATTTCCTGGGTGTGGGGGGGGGGGGCCCTATGCCCTTCTTCGAGGCTCCGTGGTCAGTCACGTGGGAAAAGACTCCCCCCCCACTCTCCCCGCCAGCTCATCCTTTCGGCAAACGCCCCTGGTTACATATATCAGCTAAAATAGACACATTGTTATCAGTGTTACATAAACATTTTAACGGGCTTAGAACTGAAATAGTGCACTCCATCTACCCTATTTAAACCCAAACATTTAATTTCATAAACTACCGGTATATAGTTTTAATCTATACTAGCAGGATACCCGGCTTCGCTCGGGGGTCATAACCCCGAAACCGGAAGTGGTAGACTAACGCCACCAGGTCTATGTTACTCCCCGGTCCGAGCTACCTCTATACCCCAAATTTCAGACTCGGGCAGACCTAGTGTATCCGCCAACCCCGAACAGACCGGCTTGGCTTGGGGGTCATAACTCCGAAACCGGAAGTGGTAGACTAACGCCACCTGGCCTATATTACTCCCCGGTCCGAGCTACCCCTATACCCCAAATTTTAGAGTCGGAGCAGACCTTGTGTAGCCACTAACCCCGAACAGACCGGCTTCGCTCAGGGGTCATAGCTCCGAAACCGTAAGTGGTAGACTAACGCCACCTGGCCTATGTTAATTCCCGGTCCGAGCTTTCCCTATACCCCAAATTTCAGACTCGGGGCAGACCTAGTGTAGCCGCCAACCCCGAACAGACCGGCTTCGCTCGGGGGTCATAACTCCGAAACCGGAAGTGGTAGACTAACGCCACCTGGCCTATGTTACCCCCCGGTCCGAGCTACCCCGATACCCCAAATTTCAGACTCGGGGCAGACCTAGTGTAACCGCCAAACCCGAACAGACAGACATACAAACAACAGTCACAAATATATATATAGATTATATTAATACAATCAAAGTGTGTGTGTGTATGTTCGCCCATCACTCTTCGTCGCCGCGTTCTACCCCCACATATGAATGGTTAGCGTGCGCGCGCTGTATCATAAAGTCTATCATTGACTCGACTGGCGTGGTTTCGAATCCTGCTAAATCCTCCCACTGCTAAAGACCCTATATGCGCAAGCGAATTATTGAAATAAAATTAAACCATATGTTAGTCCCGAAATGACCTAGTTTGTGTCGAGTGGACGTTAAACCCCATTTCTCTCTCTCTCTCTCTCTCTCTCTCTCTCTCCCACATATGTAGCATCCAATTAACTAACATGACCCCGAGAACACTTTAGGTCATCGAATTTGGGCCAGCCGGGCTAATGAGGTGCCCCAGACGAATTTGGACCCCTGGTAAACTTGTGCCCCTGGCGAATTGGTCGCAGTGCGAATTTGGGTATCCTGCTAGTCATTTAATAAATCTCTTATCTATTAACTCATCAAGAGACTTACACACACCTCCAACAAATGTCTAATATTTTGACATGATCCTATTCAACAAATAAGAGCAAGCAAACGACAGTTATATTATATAACGCTAAAATAGATTTTGAAGCAAATGTGTTATAATCCTTCTACAAAGCTTCACATTTTTTTCCTTTCTTTTTTATGCCCACCTACAGAAAAAAACAATTTGGTTCCGCATTGGTAACTTTCAATATCTGTACATCCTGGTGTCCTAATTACTGATATTTTTATCTTTCCATCTACACATCCCACGTTTAGACGTTCGGTTATTCAGACTTTTAACTATTTATTGTTCTGTGCGACATTAGTTTAAAGGGATATGGCCAGATATTTTAGCTGTGTTTAACTATGCAGTTTGTCATGCAGGCAGAGGCTGGTCTAGTTGTTAGCTGTCATTGTTCAAAATAAGTCACATATACTTGTCAGGTTTTCAACTTTCCCAAAGATTCATGTGTTATCGTGGTAAATGTCTGAGGAATGCGAATGCGACCACGACCGTGAACGCGTCGATCGCATTGGATTGACTTAACTACTGTTTGAATGCAGTCGTTTATACTTACCTGAACGCGAACGTGGCCCCCGAGCCAACAATTTTCATTAGCAAACCAGAGCCATACATTGTCAAATCGTCTATGCGCCAGTTTCATCTACGATTATCCGCGCGAGTCGCCGCTTCCAGCACGAACGGTGATTCGAGGGGAAAGTTGCATTGGGCAGTACTCAGTATAAATGGTTATGCTACGTTCCCACTGTCACGATTCACGCTACGACTGAAATCGTGGTTTGCATCTTGGAGTCATCGTGATGATCCTGTGAGATCTTAGCATACATTGAGGTCAGTAGTAGCAATCGTGTTGATCGTATCGAAACGTATCCGAACTTTTATGCACCCATTCGTGGACCCATTAGGGACAATCCTACCTATCGTTACACATCGCACGACAGTGGGAACCCAGCGTAAAATATATTTCTTAAGGCAACCTCCATTTTTAGCCTAAGCGCTAACTCTAACCCAAGACATAGCCCTAACCCAAGACATAGCCCTAACCCTTATCGTAACCCTAATTCATTATCTCGTAAACAATCACGTGCCCCAACCCTATTTACATCTCGGTGACCTTGACGAAATCTGGAAGTGGCCTTAATATTTAGATCTTGCCCAATATAAATAGCCCGTTACTTATACGGTAGATCATCCGTGGATGGGATGAAAAACTGCGTTGTCGTTTACACGTGGACAGTACATCACAAATGACTTAAGCAGTGGACACATTAGCCGAATCGTTCGGCCGAATGGGTGGACACACTAGCCGAATGCTTCGCTCGATTCAACCTGCCGATTGCATCACCTTTCACGTCACATGATTAAACATGGCGGCGTCTATGTCTTCAGTCTATCACGTGAATTTTATTCGGCCGAATGGGTGGACACATTAGCCGAATGCTTCGCTCGATTCAACCTGCCGATTGCATCACCTTTCACGTCACAGCCGAATCATTCGACTAGTGTGTCCACCGCTTTAGTAGTTGGGACTCGACAAAAAGTAGACGGCAGCAATGCTTTCCGGGTAATAACACAGTTGTAGAAAAGCAGTAGACGTTTTTCATCGCACAGAAGAAGGATGTAATTTATACAAATAAAAACATAAACAACAGTCATTATATAGAAATGTGTTATCTGATTCAGGATGGGTATTTTTTGTATTTTAGTCTATATAGTCCTAGTTAAAACTGTAGTGCAATAGAAAAGAAGTGGTGTTAAACATCCAATTTTTAGCCACCAACTTTTCGGTCAAAGTAGAAATTTTTGAAAGAATTGACTTTTTTTTCTATGTACAATATTTTGTTGTAAAACAAAAAAAAACACCACAGACCAAAACGCCCTATGAACATTAGTCGAAAATATTGTTGAATGTACTACCATACAGGGAGTTAAATGGGTCACAATATCTTGTGAAACTCCCCCAAACCTTGCCATAAATGTCCAACATGTGACATATATATCTTTGTTTAAAAAGTCGCTTGCTAAATTTGGGTCTAACATATACATTTTTTTGTTCAATAATTCACTTGCGCGGTGATGCGGGGGGGGGGGGCTTTCGAAGTGTGAGGAAACCCACAAGGTGAACTGGTATTTTCCTTACCACTTGCAAAGCCTGGATCGAACCTATGATTTGAATAAATAACAGACTTTGGCCTAAGTTGTTGAAGGAGAGCGGACCCCATCACGAATAGGTCATTTGATATGTTAATCTGAATTTAGATAATTCACTTTCACGTACTGATCTTTAGCAGTGGAGAGGGAGGAGATTAAAGAATCCAGAGAATATCAACGACGTTAGCTATAGGCTACTCTACTGATTGTCACGTGTCATCTCGGACCACCACCCTCCTTCTATAACGTTTTTTTTAAGTAAGTTACTTAAGCAATACATGTAAGTTCTGTATACTTTATTACCCTTATTACATTATCATAGATAACTGTACTAATAATTCATATAGACGTCGTCGTCGCCAGTTTAAAAAATAATAAATCTTGTGACTACAAACACAGAGCATCGTAGCGTGAATATTTGAAAAAAGTTTGAAAAGAGTCAAATCTAGGGACCATTGACGCTGTGCAGCGTAGCGTGCGTATGCACTGGCAACTGCATGAGTCACAGGTGCACGTGACCTATAAATTGTATAAAATCTTATATTAATCGGGTACCCGATCAGCTAAGGGAAATTTTACTTTCAGCGGCTATCCGACCAGCTAGTTGTAGACAAGTGAGGTAAGTGAAATCTTGTTTTGCTGAATGGGAACTGGAGTTGCGCGTAGGTTTCTTTTAGCAGTGGGGGGAAACCGGACAACCCGGAGAAAACCCACGAGGTTGGACAAACAACCCTACTCCTTGTCACGTACAACTGGGGAATCGAAACCACGCCAGTTTACTCAATGACAGACCTTATGATACAGCACGCATGTGCTAACCATTCATCCATCCAAGAGAAAGCTGTGACCAAATTGTAAGAGTTACGACCGCAACATATTGGGTTGGGGAGGATCTTCGTTTGAGTTGGAATTGGGATGGAAGTAGCAATGCTTGAAGTCTTTTACGAATCAAAATTTCACCGACTGTACGGGTAATATATGGTGAAGTATTTATATATAGTTAAGTATACAATTTATTTGGTTTAAACAGTATTTTATTCAATAGCAGATTAGTATTCACAATTGATCATTTTGAAAAAATAAGTGAATAGGATGCAGCCACAAGAAAAAATGCGTATTATATGATCATTAAAGAAAGATTGTGTGATTTAAACCAAAGGTATGGATAAAATATATAAATTCAAAGCTGGAATCATGGAAGACTAAAATGATTATTTTTAGAAGTGTAATATAATCATATCATTTCTTGGTTCCAACTTTGAATTAATTATCAGTTAACAATGTCTAGAAGGTCTTAGTTTAATATATAACATGTTTGAAACCTTATTAATAAACACACATTGATCATTGATTTGTTATAATAGTTATTCTATATTCCTGTACATGTTAATTGACCAAGATACGAGTATTTCACAATCATTTAAAACGCTTGGTTAAGTTAAGAAATTTTAAGACAACTCAGTAGAGATCAATGTTTTCTTCATAACTTTTATTTTTGTTTCCGTTTAGAAAAGTTTTTGTATTTTCCGAGTCTGTGTCCGAAGTGTCGATTGTGATTTGTCTTTGCGTCAAGTACATAGGACACTAACAAAAATAGTGATCGCAATTTTCCAATATTTTACCACAATATCAGTAAGGATCGTTACTTATGTGCATCAGGAATTGATAATGGTCGGGATCGCACTCTGAGTTTCACATTTTACAATGGATGAATTGACAGTTCCTCTTGCTAAGGTTTCAATTGATAAGGAGCAAGACAGTAGGACGTTAAACCCCATTTCATTTCATTTCATTTCAATTGATAAATTGGAGATATTTGTATTTTAAATTCTAAGAATGTTGTAGGTTCTTTAATACTCGGAGTTAAATTATTCCAGTCTTGTATCGCTGATGAATAGAAAGGGTGTTGAAAATGATTTGTTCTGCATGGAATTTGTTTTATGTTGTCTGAATTTCGAAGAATGTAAGAATAAGTTGTGGCAACTAGGGGTGGTATAATGTCTGACAGGTAGCCAGGCACTAGTTTATGTAGTATTTTGTCAAAAGTATCATTTTATGCATAGAACGGCGTTTATTTAGCGCTCAAAGCCCCCTTCCGTAAAACAGGATATCACGTGATGTACCTCGTGGTAATCCCATTACAATTCGGAGGGCATCTAAATGCAGCTTTTCTAATAAATCAGGGTTATACTTAGTAGAGTGTATCCAAGCGCAACAACAATAGTTAAATTAGCAAATTGAAAGACTTGTAAATACTGCTCAGAGTTTTCCTGTTTAATCGATATTTAAAAGAGGGTTTAACGTCCCGTTGTTCTACTCCGACTGGGCTAATAAAGACGGGCATACGCCCTACTGTGTGCTAAGAGGAAAATTTTGACCGGACAGCGGCATTACGACCAAGATCTCTTCGCAGTTGGAATTCGATATAAGTTTAGGCCATAGCGTCGCTGTCGGGATAAAATTTCCTTCATAGTACACTGCACGGCGTATGTCCGTCTTCATTAGTCCAGTCGAAGCAGAACAGTAGGACGTTAAACCACACTTCATTTCCCTGTCGCCATGGGACCCAATGCGAGTAAGACACTGTTGGCCGAGAATGTTCATCGGTATTTTCAGGCGTGGTTTCCCCTTGTAAATGGTGCAGGACGGAGGACCTAACAAAGACAGCTGTTGAGTTGTTCGGATGCGACGAAAACTCGAAGGCCCACACATTGGCGTGTAGGTAAAAGACCCCTTAGCAGTTAAAATTCGATACAAGAGTAGGCCGTATAGCGCCGCTGCTCGGGCAAAATTTCTCTAGTAGCACACTGTATGGCGTATGCCAGTCTTCATTAGCCCAGTCGTAGCAGAACAATAGGACGTCAAACCCCATTTTATTTTATTCAGTGCAATGTTCCCATTTCGTTGATAACAGACGCTTGTATATACATGTATGCGGCCTACCTCGTCTATTTTTAAACTTTTATTTGAGAGAGAGAGAGGGAGAGAGAAATGGGGTTTAACGTCTACTCGACACAAACTAGGTCATTTCTGGACTAACATATATGGTTTGATTTTATTTCAATAAAATTTGCTTGCGCGTAGGGGTCTGTACCAGTGGGAGGAAACCGGGGACCCGAAGAAAACCCACGAGGTTGGACAGGCGACCCTCCTCCTTGTCACGTACAACCGGGTATTCGAAACCACGCCAGTTGACACGATGACAGGCCTTATGATACAGCACGCACCTGCTAACCATTCGACCATCCAACCCCCTACTTTTATTTGACCTCGGCTGCACACCTTCCAAACGCGCTGCCTTTAAAGAAAATTGCGACTAACACGCCTTTTTAAGAACTGTTTTTGTTAAGCAACACGTGTTTATTATAATCAGTAAAACTACGACCGTACCACAATCTCAGGCGTATAGCGGAGAGTCATATCAAGCTACGCCGTAAAGGCGAGAAACATGACACGATGATGATCAAGGAATCAGTCGAGGTTTGCCGAATGGTCCTCGAGAAAAACAAAATTATAAATTATTTTACAAAATGGAAATTAAAATACAAAATTAAAAATTAAAATACAAAATTAAAAATTAATTTACAAAATTAAAAATTAATTTACAAAATTAAAAATTAATTTACGAAATTAAAAATTAATTTACGAAATTAAAAATTATTCTAAAAAATTAAAAATTATTCTACAAAACCAAAATTAAAAATAGAAATTAGAAATTATTTTTCAAAATAAAAAATTAAAAATAGAAATAGGAAATCGAAAAACAAAAAGTAGTTCGTATTTGAGCTTCCGTAAAAATAGAAATTCGAAATTAATTTTTTCAAAATTAAAAATTGAAAATAAAAATAGGAAAAGAAATAAACAAAAATAGTTCGTATTTGAGCTTCCGTAATTTACAGAATTAAAAATTAATTTTAAAAATTAGAAATTAATTTACAGAATTAAAAATATTGAAAATTAATTTAGGAAATTACAAAATTAAAAAAAAATAATAATTTTATTTGAGAGAGAGAGAGAGAGAGAAATGGGGTTTAACGTCTACTCGACACAAACTAGGTCATTTCTGGACTAACATATATGGTTTGATTTTATTTCAATAATTCGCTTGCGCGTAGGGGTCTGTACCAGTGGGAGGAAACCGGGGACCCGAAGAAAACCCACGAGGTTGGACAGGCGACCCTCCTCCTTGTCACGTACAACCGGGTATTCGAAACCACGCCAGTTGACACGATGACAGGCCTTATGATACAGCACGCACCTGCTAACCATTCGACCATCCAACCCCCTACTTTTATTTGACCTCGGCTGCACACCTTCCAAACGCGCTGCCTTTAAAGAAAATTGCGACTAACACGCCTTTTTAAGAACTGTTTTTGTTAAGCAACACGTGTTTATTATAATCAGTAAAACTACGACCGTACCACAATCTCAGGCGTATAGCGGAGAGTCATATCAAGCTACGCCGTAAAGGCGAGAAACATGACACGATGATGATCAAGGAATCAGTCGAGGTTTGCCGAATGGTCCTCGAGAAAAACAAAATTATAAATTATTTTACAAAATGGAAATTAAAATACAAAATTAAAAATTAAAATACAAAATTAAAAATTAATTTACAAAATTAAAAATTAATTTACAAAATTAAAAATTAATTTACAAAATTAAAAATTAATTTACAAAATTAAAAATTAATTTACGAAATTAAAAATTAATTTACGAAATTAAAAATTAATTTACGAAATTAAAAATTAATTTACGAAATTAAAAATTATTCTACAAAATTAAAAATTATTCTACAAAACCAAAATTAAAAATAGAAATTAGAAATTATTTTTCAAAATAAAAAATTAAAAATAGAAATAGGAAATCGAAAAACAAAAAGTAGTTCGTATTTGAGCTTCCGTAAAAATAGAAATTCGAAATTAATTTTTTCAAAATTAAAAATTGAAAATAAAAATAGGAAAAGAAATAAACAAAAATAGTTCGTATTTGAGCTTCCGTAATTTACAGAATTAAAAATTAATTTTAAAAATTAGAAATTAATTTACAGAATTAAAAATATTGAAAATTAATTTAGGAAATTACAAAATTAAAAAAAAATAATAATTTATAAAATTAAAAATTAATTCTTTCACCGATATGTAAATAGTGAGCTGTACACACCATTGTTGGTAAATCATGAGAGAAAATCATGGTCAACGGTGGTTGAAATAAAATGAAATTGAGTTTAAAGTCCTACTTTTCTGCACCAACCGGGATAATGATGACAATGTGGGGGGAAGTTTTTGCCCGACAGTGGTGGTACGGCCTACTCCTGTTTCGAATTCCAACTGCCAAGGGTTCTTTACCTTTACGTCAACGTGTATACGGGACGACTAGACACTGTATCTTGTCAGACCCTTCGTAATTAATTTGATCAATTTCGATTGCTGGCATATTCTAAATGCCGAATTCTAAAATTGGCTTCAATTGATAACGACTGGGGTTTTCGGAAACTATATAATAGGTATCGACAGGGTACAACTCGGGGCAATTAATTCATTGTTCATAAAGACCAACTTCAGCATTCGTTACATCACACTACAACAAAGGGCGCATGTTTTCCAAGAAGAAAACGAGTTATTGTGTGTCTTTCAAATAGGGATACATCCTATTTGACAAGTGTTACCGGTCTTTTCGAAATAGGTAAGCATACTCTTCCTTGTATACTACACAGGTTAGTAATATAAACGAATAATGTAATAAAATAAAGTATAATTTTATTTGTCAGATTCAAGTTGAGATACTTACCATGTTTCTTGCTTGGCATTTATATCTATGTACAAGAAGCACAAACCGTCTTCAGGATGAAACAAACTCAGAAAACCAGACTGCAGATGCCGAGACAGACAGTCGTCAACCTAAATCAAAATCAGAAAAACAGACTGTAGATACCAATACAGATAGTATCAATGTGAATAGCTTCAGGGATGTGAGAAGTGACGTAACAAAGAGTAAGTACGTGTTTTCCGGTCCGGATTTCTGTTCTTGTGGGGAAGAGGAAGGGGAAGGGGGAGAGGGGTGGCCGAATGGTTAGCACGTGCGCGATGTATCATAAGATCTGTTATTTAGTCAACTGTCGTGGTTTCGATTCCCCGGTTGTTCTCCCTCTTGCCGTACTTGTCGATCCTAGACCCAACTGACCAGTGGACCCACCAGTTGAAGATCACCCTGGGCCTATACTTATAGTTCAGTTGTGCCATACGCTTGATTCTATACTTATTGTGCAGGTTCTCATATGATTTTGAATATATTATTGATATGAAATACCCGGAGTGCACGGGAAACAAGGTTATAAACTGGCACACTGTACGACAAATTACTTTAAGTGGATCTCAAGATACCTTTGGAACCCAATGGCCTGTTGTGTCTTTTAGTAAATCCTGCCCTTCATGTAGTATAGAAACACCACTATATTTATCCTCCTATATATCCTATGGGCCAATTACGTAGTAAAAATCTAGACCCGCATCAGGTATATAAAAAATTATAAATGGTCTGCTCTTCCACCTTTATTTAATCTTGTGTATTTACCACTAATTTCTTTCACATTCGTTTAATATCAAATCTTTGTTTAAAAATTCGTAAAAATTGTTTAAAATAACCCCAAATTATCTAATTTGTACTTCTGTCCAGTTTAATGCTGACTGATTAATTTTTATAATGGGTGTCCAATTTACAAGTATTTAATTTCTCGATCACTGTTACAAAATAAAAAAACACAACTGATTATTGATGTATAATGATTAATTTTTAAACAGTGGTCAGGAAATTAAATACTTGTAAATTGGACACCCATTATCAAAATGAATCAGTCAACTTTAAACTGGACACAAGTACAAATTAGATGATTTTGGGTGATTTTAAATAATTTTTACGATTTTTTAAACAAAGATTTGATATCCAACGAATGTGAAAGAAATTAACGCTAGATACACAATATTAAATGATACCTGGGTTACAGTGTTAAAACACACTGCATTATAAACGCCTTTTCAACCCCACCTTAAAGCTACAATTACATATTTTTAAGTTATATTTTAAACATTTATTAAAATAAAGCCTTAAAATAGATGGTATCCATAAACCGTCATACCCTGTTAAAGAATAATACTATTAATCCTATAATTCACTATTGCCAGCTGAGAAATTGGCAAAAATATCATTTTCAACTTCAAATTCCAACGTTTGAAGGTAGCTAATGCATGGAGGCAATAGGAAAACAAGGGAGGTAATTGTGTTATTATTTCCTGTGTCATTGATTTTTAAGGGTGGGAAATAATGCCCATGGTCGTATAATAGTGAGTTGATAACCTATTGAGCAAAAGACATAGAAATAATTATGTTTTTCACTTTCTTAGAAAATATGAAATTCCCGCTTTAAATGTGCTAGTTGTTGTATTGAGCTAATACGAGTATTTGTTTTCGATCCTAGGATTTCATTATGATGGTGCATGTATGGTTTACCATATTATCATTTCTAAAAGAATAATTAAAACCTTTAAGTCTGTCCAATCAGAAAATAAATGGCACCAAGACATTTTACTTATGATCCAACAATTGAAAGAGGAAAAGGGTCGTGAAATAGCAACGTCGAAACTGATAATCAAACGATTGGAAGAGGAGAAAAAAGAAACGGGTCGTGAAAACGCGACGTTGAAATGTTGGCTTCAAGATATTGACCAAAGAGTTATGAAGTTGGAGGCAGCTAGTAATCCGAGAAAACAGACTGACTGTCAAGTGTCTGTTAAAATACCAGGTAATATTAATCACCAGCTTGATAAATCACCAGCTTGGTATTTAAATAGATTACCCATTATTACCTGTAATCTATTTAAATACCTATTTAAATATCTATTTAAATCTATTTAAATTTTAACTAAGATAAAATCCAAATTTTAGTAATTTTATTGGATAATATTAGATTGATTTTAGTGCTTAGCACTACTAAAATTTGGATTTTATCTTTAGTTAAGATTTCGAGAAACAGGGCCGAGGTAATACTAATCATGAACTGATAAGAATTATTACATGTAATCTATTACAACTGGCAATATTCACCTTACTCATGACTCGCGATTTTATTATGCCCAAGTAACCAGTGCATAGCAGAATATTGTAGAAAAACTAATTGCGTGAGAAACGAGGCTATCGACACGGATACAATGTAAACAATACTGTTTAGAGACGAACATACTTTTACCATTTTTAATACCTTAAATCACTGTCCAAAGTTTTAGGCAAGATCCCAGTTTAAACGAAGGGCTATCTTGTTGCTGTAGTTGGGATAAATTTGATTGAACGGGAAGAATAGACACATTCCCTCAAAAGCTCAAGTATCAGAAGCCAATCCAGCAATGGCCATTGAGGGATTTCTAGTGCCATTTCTTCAGGAATATGCTTTACCCCAGTACAGTAGCGCACAGGATCGCCTGTCCAACCTAGTGGGTTTTCTCCGGGTCCTCCGGTTTCCTCTCACTACTAAAGAACCCTAAGCGCAAGCATATTACTGAAATAAAATTGAACCATATGTTAGTCCTGAAATTACCTAGTTTGTGTTAAGTGGACGTTGAACCCCATTGTATCTCTTTTTCTATCGAAAAATTAATTCCGTTTCAAATAAACACCTAACGTACCATGAAACTCCATTTCATTTCATATCCCGGGTGAATAATTGTTGATTTTCCATGTTTTTTTTTCGACTATTATCATGACTTTATGATCTTTTATAGATGTATGTTCCCATGGCAACGGTCAACAGCAAATTCATCCAAATATCATTGATACTGTCACCGATTTGGGTTCTACGGCTAACGAAGAAGAAGATACCATACCCAAGACAAGACCGTACTTTCTTACCTTACACGAGGCGTGCCTAAAGGGGGATTTAAATAATGTTAAAGGTTTAATTGACTCTGGCCATGATGTAAATAAGAGGTATGAATGCGGCATGACACTAATATTATATTGCAGTCAATCCCAAATTGAACCCGTTTCTAAAATTAAACTGATACTAGATAAAGGTGGTAATAAATATGATACAGATAATTGGAATGACAATATATTACACCTAGCTTGTGGGTCTGGTCTTCTTGATACAGTAGACTACTTACTTAAACTGGGTTTCGACATTCATAGCAAGGGTTTTAATGGCCTAACACCACTATTACACTGCGGTGCATCACAAATAGAACCCGTTTCTAAAATAAAAATGATATTAGATAAAGGTGGAAATATCGATGATAGAGATACATACAATAACAGTGTGTTACACCGTGCTTGTGAGTATGGTTGTCTTGAAACTGTAAAGTACTTATTAGAACTGGGTTTAGACATCCAAAGCAGGTGTTTTGTCGGCCAAACACCAATATTATATAGCAGTAAATCACATATTGAACCTGTTTCTAAAATTAAACTGCTACTAGATAAAGGTGGCAATATAGATGATACAGATAAACATAATGACAATTTATTATTCCTAGCTTATAACTATGGTCGTCCGGAAACTGTAAAGTTCTTACTAGATCTAAACGTGTATAAATGGTCGACTCGACACTGTTTTGTGCCAATCCCTCCGTCCTGCAAAACCGACAAGGCGAAGTATCGGAGAACATTCTAGGCCATCACTGGGGGTGAACCCGAAAACTCCTGGTGAATGAGCGCGCGTCTTACTCACCGAGCTACTACAGCTCCCTATTTAAAACAAAATTTTGCCAACTGGATTAATGAAGACAGGTAGGAAAGTTGAAGCTTCAGGTCAAATGGCATTGTGTGACGTTAGTTCATGAATGTATATTTGTTGCTAGAGTTACACTAATTCTAAACGAATGCGATAAAATTGTTAACTGTTTGTATTTTATTCTTTCAATATTTCATTCGTTCATTATTCATTCATCCATTCATCATTTAAAGATTTCTATTATTCTTATGTTTCTATTAATCCTTCGTTATTAATTAGACGTTAAACTACTCATCTAATGACAGGAAGTTGACAGCTGACACATTAATGAGTTCAATTACTACCATATTGTTTTATTTTACTGTAATATGTCTTTCATATTTTAATCTTTCCTCTTTAAATGTTATTAGTAACCTTGGTGTATTCCTAAGATACCATTTTATTATAAATACCAATTTGTACATTGACAAAGATTCTAGGTTTTATCCCGTTTCCATGACAGTTAATCTGCTTGTCGGACGTGCTGTTCCCCGTATATGATGTTTAATGTTTCCGGTAATAAATAGTATCAAGCATAGTTCCAGTCTTTAATTATTACCGAAGATTTCCACTGTTACAGTATGTCCTGTTTATGGTCAAGCCAAATGTTTTACTATAACTTTGACGACATTTTGTTACGAAACTTATTTATTAATTGTAATATATTCAAGAGATTATATTAAACATACATTATGCAAGAGTTAAATCTGCCTGTTGCAGGTCTTTCTTTAGGCCTGAAATGTTATCTAAATTATTAATTAGACATTAATTAACTCATAATCAACTCTCGATGGCATCGGATATCTCCGATATTAAATGAATTAGAACAGTTCAGCCATATTTTGATTTAAGCTAAAAATGGAAGAGCGAAACTTGGTTTCGAAAAACCAGTACGGTGGTTGGAATTATTGCACACGTCTTGTAAAACCTTCAAAGGCTAATGTCTTCGCTCGCAATAGAGTAATTTGAATGAAATGTTCAAATTTTTCATTTTATCAAGTTATAAAGGGAAAGCTTTGTATCGAATATACTCTGTAAACTGATTAATTATTCTTAGAAAAAAATGTAGTCTTTTTCGAACTTTCCTTTTACAGTCTTTTGTTAACTCCATGCATCATATTTATGATTCAATGTTTTGTGTGGTGACAGCTGGGTCAATGTTAACAAAAACGTCTCCCACCCTAGAAAAGCGACATTAACCATGATTGGTTAACTTGGTCTAAGTCCGCTATGAAGTTGGATTTCGAGTCCGACGTACACTCAACGGTAGGTGGGAGGGCGGAACATAGAACGAAAGAAAGATGAAGTGGGGAAAAGAGACAGGTGAGATAGAAAGCGGGGTGGGGATAGGACTATAGTGAAGCAGACTCTGGTGTTAACTTCACAATTCACAGGGTCGGGGAAGGAGAAGGAGTGGGAAAATCGGGGAAGAGGGAGTGAGGAAAAGGGGGAAGGGAGATTTGGGGACTGGCCTATGGTGCAATTCTACTTCAAGGGGTCTTTAACAGTGGGATGAAACCGGAGATAAAGAGAAGAGGGAGAAAAGGGGGGGGGGGGGTCCTTCTCGTCTAACACCAGGATCCAGTGCCCATGTTTTCCTGGGCCACGACGGCTCTCGGTTTACGCTTGAGCTTTAGATCATAGGCTAAGCGTGGTCATCGTTTCAATAATCGGGATGTCGATCTAAGATATTCCTTACCTAAAAGCAGAGAAGATGGGGACGATTGACATCGCCTGCTTTATAAATACATCTTCCAGCTTTCTGCACACAAAAGCCCGGCACTCCAATTACTTTAGGACCTGCCCTTACAACATGGCTGGATTTACTCCTTGCAGTAGTAATAATGTGTTTTAACTGTCAACATAATATTCGTCGGACTGACCGACCGATGACCAATATGGCTGGATTTACTCCTTGCAGTAGTATTAATGTGTTTTAACTGTCAACATAATATTCGTCCGACTGACCGACCGATGACCAATATGGCTGGATTTACTCCTTGCAGTAGTACTGTTAATGAACAGGGAGGAAACCGGAGGACCCGGGGAAAACCCACGAGGTTGGACAGATTTCATATTGGTCCAGTGCCGTATTTAGGCGAAGAAATGAAATGAAATGAAATGAAATATGGTATAATGGTACGTCAGTACCAATCGGGATATATTGCGCCAAACATATGGTGATTATTTCGAGACAAGCTAAATCATATCATAAAATTTTATATGCATAAATAAAAACAATATAACAGTTTTATCAAATTTAAAAATAAAAACAATATGTTATGCATATAAACAATAAATATAAAAATTAATATTTATAATAAAAACCTGTCTCTTTTAAAAAGTTTAGTATTTCGCAATATAGCCCAGACTGGGCAAACAAGTGATGTAGTGACTGGCAACAGTAATATCGTGATCTTGTATTCTTGAGATGATTGCACTAAATTCAGGTGAAGAAAGATCCTAGGCTGTTCCACTTATGAAGTCCTACCAAATCCACCAACCTCACGACTTAAGGAAGATGAGATTGCGTTTAGAAACACAAATGAGTAAAGCCGGAAATAATGACCGACTTGTAAGACAGAGTGCGTGAAGTAAAATGAAATGGGCTTTAACCTCCTACTATTCTGCTCCTACTGGGATATTGAAAACGAGCATACGCCATGCAGTGTGCTATAAGGGAAAGTTTGCTAGGACTGCCTACTCTTATTTCGAATTCCAACTGTCGAGGGTTCTTTTACGTGCACGCATATGTGTACAAGGGACTTAGGTTTTTCGTTCCACACAAACACTTATATATAATGCCTTGCCATACCGGAAAATCCCGATGACCTTTCTCAGTCAACACAGGGATTAACATAGGGACCTCCAGTTTTGCGAGCCAGTGTCTTACTCACTGATTCACCGTTGAAAGGCGAAGAAATCGACGGTACCCAGACAGTGACGTAGCAAAATTCACTGGGATATTGATCAAGTACAGGTGATATGACAGTCACAATAATCACTTTAGACAATAATCAGGGGTGCAGACTTATCATATTTTCCAAGGAGCGGATGTGGGGGGGGGGGACATTATAATTTTGTTAGCCCACTTAGCATTAGCAAAATCAATTATTACCCCAGTTAGGTCGAAAAGTATTTAGTAATTATAGCATTATGTAATTCTCCAATGACCCAGTTGAATATTGATTGGTAGGCCTCATTTTGGTTTGATTGAATGTGTTAGACACTCGGGTAAACCAGTTCATGTTTTGACGAATAAGCGGTCCCGTCGGCAAAAGAATCGGCACATTTGCCTATCTGGACTAAGCCCCCCCCCCCCCAAAAAAAACCCCTGTTGTGCGCCCCTGACTATAATATCAGAAAGGTTTCCCACAAGGTTATTTGTCTTGAAATACACAACCAACGTAATAGTAGTAGTATACAAAATTATCCAGGCAACGTATAGTCTGTAATTTGGAGACTCACGAACAGATTGTAAGTATATATTGTTTAATGGTCGAGAGCGAGACATTAAGTAATATATTGTAACAACAAGTAGGGCCGTAAGCTCGAGACAATTAAACGACTTAAAATACAGACACTCCGCACGTGCTTTTACAGTGAAATACGTCACGCGAGTCCAATATTTCACTAGTATAAATAATGTACGATTGGCAAGTTGCCCGTACGATTATTTGAAACAATGGTACGCCAACATCAAAGGGCGACGTCACATCTGTATTTTAATTGGAAATAATCCCACGAAGCTTACTGCGAAAACTTCGTTCTTCCATGTCAAATGAAACAAGCGGATTTGGTTTCCCATAGATTTTATTTCTATCCACGCTGATGATACCAAACATCAATCAGCTGAACCTCCTGTTTTATGTTTTGACGAAGGGAGAAGTCCACCCTGTGCTCTTACACATGCCTGACGTCGCCTTTGCATGGACTGGCGTCAACATAATGGTGAGCATTGGGATTGCCTTGGACCACCACCAACTGGGACCGGAAGTTGACGTTGATAGCGGCCCAAACCATGACGCCACCTCCCACGAAACGATTCCTTTACAGTACGCAGTTACGAGCAAAGCGTTCATGTCGACATCAGGAAAACTGAGGTTGAATCGGGATTCATCCGAGAAGATGACATTTCGCCATGGTGTGTTGTGGAGATACCCCTGATTTGCGGCTCATTGGTGTCTGGCAAGTCGATGACGATGCAATAGGGTCTGACCTTGGTAGCTTCGACGGCAGCGTAACCCAAGAGCAGCCATGCGCCTTTGGACTGCTTGAAGGCTGATCTGACGTTGCGTGTCCCAACAGTTCCTCTGGCAGTAGCAGTAGCTGACTGGAACCTGTTGCGCAGATGCTGTAGCCGGATGTGGCGATCTTGAGCAGCGGTTGTTACAGGTGGCGTTTCAGGTCGGGGTCGATCGGCAACTCTTCCAGTGGCGTGGAAGCGTTGTCTGAGGTGGGCAATGCTCGATGGGTAGACATTAAAGTGTCTGGCGACGGCTACCTGTGAAGCCCCCTGATCCAGCATGCCAATATCTCTCTTCCTATTTTCTCGTGTAAGGCGTGGCATTTTTCCGAAGTGATGAATGTTGAAATTTGACCAGAGTGCAGGAAATGTACGTGGAAAATGTGTGATATAGAACTGCTTAAAATCGTGAAAAAAGACAAGTGTTGCATTTCCAGGAACAAAGTTCATTACCTAGAACTGATATTGGGTTCAAACCCAGAACTCCACAAAAAGAGACCCATCACAAGTTTCACCTATGTGCCATAAGATAGGAAAGCCCAAGAAAACGTTTACTAGAAGTAATCCACGAGTTAGACATTGCGTTTTTAATGGCTTTGAGTAATCTTTTGAACTGCAACCAATTTCAAGACATTAACATTTCTGTCAAGGACTATACACCAGATGATACTGATTATTCCTTGGCCGTCACAACATCAGCTAATGTACCACGAAATAAAAGAGTAAATGCGGTGGGGTCATACCTCAGCAACTATATTTTGTCTTCAGACGACTTTAGTAAGTTCCAGAATCTATTACACACGTTTGATAATCTTATGAGTTAATCATATCATGCTATAATGCTAGTAATTTTCGGGTTGTAGTAAATAAAGAACAGGCAGAGTTCCGCAGTATGCTAGAGATAAACTTACCGCATTACAGAGAAAAAAACCGATGAACTCGAAGCAGCTGTTGTGTTTCGTCCTCCAGAAGACGTGGGTGTGTCAGTAGCGTATCTCAACCCTTCCTTTTTAATACAGAAGACTAACGGTAGTTGCCGTCTTGCCTCAAAATTCATTAATGCCAAACGTTGAGTCTATCATTCGGACAATTGCTTCATGGTAGTATATTATTGTAACTCACTTAACAAATACATTTTATCAGATTCCTCTATCAAGAGACTCGATGAAATACTGTGGTGTCGCTCTATGCCTTGGTTCTTGGTGTAGTCCCGAAATGACCTAGTTTGTGTCGAGTGGACGTTGAATCCCATTTCTCTCTCTCTCTCTGGTTCTTGGTGACAACCTAGCAGGTGATTTGTATATAGGCGGCAACACCATAGAAGACTTGTTATCTATTTTTTTAAAAGACACTATAGGCGCTCAATTCTGTTATTTTTCCTAATACTACGACCATATTAATTTGGTTATGGACGAAAGGGTCAATATCAGCTAGCCAGCACCCTGTGTTCATATATCCACCACCTACAACCGTTCGTGGATTACGGTCATTTTTAGGCGCAAATAAGGTCTTAAGGCGAATTATTCCTAACTGTTCCCAAGGATAAATTTACTTGGTCTTATAAACTTTTACTACACTTCACCCAGGCTCAACAGCCTCTACATACCAACCGATCCATCTTTTTACCCCGAGCAACCGAGCAACTATGGATAGTCACTGATGGTTTCGTATCGAAACATGGCATTGGTGCAACTATGTACGTTA